ACCTTGGTATCATGTGGCAACCGGGATGAACTCGCTCTAGAACAAAACTCATTCCGATATCACGTAACATTTTATTCCCAGATCATCATGCTTTGCTCTCCTGTCTGTATACTATAAATTTCAATAGCGTTGAGGCAACAACCCGCTTTTAACTGCTTCGCTGCTACTGAAATAACGATTAGTGACCACAAAAAGCACACATTCTAATATTTTCAATTCAACATAAACGAAAGTCTATATACAGGGTAAATATTCATTTGTATCAATAAAGATTTGGAAATGCAAAGACAAGCAAAAACCAACGATAAAAACCGATGTTTCGGTGTCATCATGACGCCATTGTCAAGGAAAAATAAAAATTACAAAGTTTGCACCAAGGTGTAACACTAAATTAGCATAAATATGTTAGGAGCTAATTATACAAATACTTTTGCGCGAATTGAATCGCTTTGCACGTTCAGAGTGGGTCTTAGGTCTCTGATGAAAAGCATTTCGTTCACCAAACAATCGAACTTGTTAAAACACTTTTTCAGAATGCTAAAACGTTTCAGTAGGTCTTTCGGGACTTCACTGTGCCGTTCGTGGTAGTGTTTATATATTGAAGGTGCCTTTCGTTTGTGTCCATCCACGCGTGTGTGTAAGTGTCCGCGTGTATAGCCCACATAACCCGCATCACACAGGTCACATTGAAAACGATAAACGACGCGTTGTTGGTTGACGATCTGTGGCTTGATTTCTCGTACTTTAAGATCTTGGCCAACTTTGCGGCTAACAAATACTGGCTGGACAGTTGTCTGCACCTTCATGCTAAGATTCTTGAGCTCTTTCTTAACATAATTTGCTGATTCCTGATCTTTGAAAGGTATGACCACACGAACAATGGATATTGGTTCTTTGGGCGTCTGTGTGGGCTGCGTACCAACAATTCTTGATTGTAAGAAGGTGTTAATGGTAGAATTTACCAGGCGTTCCGGGTATTTAAGCCGTGCGAAAACTTTCTTTAGGCGATCACACTCATCAGAGAAATGGGCCCAGGAGGAAGATAATCGGTGTGCGCGATCCAGCATAGTTTTCAGCAAGCTCCGTTTGTAGCGATTGTCTACATGGCTTTGGTAGTGTAATAGTAGGCCCGTGTTTGTTGGTTTCACATATACCTTGGTTTCAATCTCTC